ACACTTCAACGACAAATGTGTTTTCAAGGAACTTTTCCAAAATTTGTAGTAGTTGGATCATCGATCTAATTTTTTTTAAGACAATTGTAATGCATATATGTTACTTATTTCATATACTTTTATAACAACCACAATAATCCTTTTTAAGTCGAATGAAATATTTAATCTCAATGTTTATAAATTTATTTTTTTAGTACAATATTCATGCGTCGCACGGGTGACACACTAGTTTTCATAAATCATCACAATTGACATGCTAGATCCACTAATCAAATGATCAATACATATAAAAAATACTTCGGGTGTTTTTTATTGTATTTATTTTCCATGAAAAATATCAGTTTTCCATTCTAATTTCTACTTTGGAGTGTTTGATTGCTATTTTTTTTTTCCATTGAAAATATTTTTGAACTTTTGAAAATATGTCTAATTTTCTTTGTTTTTAAGGAAAATATTTTATTTGAGGGGAGTATGTTTTTATTTTCTTCAAAACAAAGAAAACATTTTCTTTTCTATGAGATATTATTCATGCCAATCAAACACATTCTTCAATACTTCAAGTTATTGAGAGAGAGAGAGACACGCTCACAGTCACTGTCACATTTAGCGACGGGGGCTCAATGTTGACGACATGTCACAAACACGATAGACGGAGATACAAGATAATGAAAGATAGGTTTGCTTTGCAGTTGTCGTATGATCAAATTGCATTTGGAATTCAATTATGGTAGCTTTGTAGCTTGCAGTTGTCGTATATTCATATTGCATTTGGAATTCAATTATGGCAAATGCTATACATATCGACCTAGGCATGTTAAAGTGGCTCGTCGGCTCAGGAGCCCATGGCTCAGCCTTGGAAAATCCCCACCGAGCTGGCTCGTGAGTCGGGACTATCAAGTCAAGGATCTGACCGAACCCCATTTTAGGGTATCAGCTTGAGCCAGCCCATTTCACAGACCATTTTCGACCCGGACGAGTTGAGCCGAGTTTCATAAAAAAAAATATATTAAAACAAAATTTAAAACAAAAATATAGCGGCAGCATTAAAAAATATATATATATAGTTGCCATGTATATAATATATATATATGTATAAAAGAACGAGTCGGCTTGGTTCAGGCCCGACTCGACCCGCTGAGGCCCCGGCCAATAGGCTCTGGTTGAGTCTCAATTTTTTTTGCCAAGCTTTTGTTCGGCTTGAACTAAAAAAAGTCCGAACGATTTTTTCTCGAGCTGAGCACGAGTTTTGAGTCTCGACTCGACTCGTTGACATCCCTATCGACCTCAGCAACATGCTTTGGGCCTAACATTTTAAAATCCTTTAAAAAAAAAGGGGAAGAGGACCCAAAACAAAAGGTCCACTATTTTTTGGAAAAATAAAATTTGGCAAACCTCTCATCTCCTCCCTTGCCCTTCACAGTGAGAGATGTTGCTTTTCTAACCTGTGATTTTCAGACGGAGCTAGCACGGGCTATCGTGCCAGATTGTCGGGTGCTAGCTCCACCCTGTGCTCCATCACTGTATAACTGTATATTTGGTTGATTGCCAAAAATGATATTTTATTGTTGTATCTAAATGTTAGATATGTAGGGGCCGTTCTCTTCGTGTTTCAATTTTCTGTTTTGAGTTTTGAATTCATTTTGTATTTTCTGTTTTGAGTGTCTGTTTTGAAATTTCTGAAAATGCGTTCTTTTTGCCATTCTGAAAAATTGTTTCTCAAAATATAAAAATAAAAAACGCGTTTACTTTGAAATTTTGAGAATATTTTTTTATAATATTTTATTCAAGAAATTTGGTTATTCAATAAATTTTAATAGTTTAATATTAATATAGTATCAAATAACATATAAATTATGAAATTGGTGAATCTTAAAATATTTTTTTTCCATATATAAAAAATACAATCTAAATTAAATTTGACAAGTCCTTATTTTTGTCTTTGTACGTAACTTGAGACAAAAATTAACTAGCATCAATCACCAATCCAATAAAGGACCCCATTAAGATCCTTCCAGCTACATTCGTCACCAATCCAATAAAGGACCCCATTAAGATAGGTTGGAGACGTTATGCTTTGGAAGCTGGGAGCAAATCCAATGTTTCTCCATAATTTGGTCCCAAGAGTATGAATCTCAACCACCCTATAAGGAAAGAATGTTGTTCCTTCAATTTGTGATTTAGCATGTTGATTTTTTCCTGGAGACAACACTCTAAGAACCTTATTGAACCTTATATTTTTTCCGCATTGTATACCCTCCACCACCCAAAACCATTAGAGGAACATTGAACGATCTCAGGAAACGAAGACAATCCGCATGCCCTTTCACAGACAAATTGAAGCACCCTAACCTGTCACCAGCCAATGAATCTGCCCCACATTGAAGAACAACAACATCTGGCTGATAGACCTCCATGACCTTTTAGATAATGGGACGAAATAAACTACGGAAGCTCTCATCATCTATTCCATCATTCAGTGGAACATTAAGAGCATAGTTTTTTCCCGCATTAGCTCCAACATCTTTAATATGCCCAGTTCCTGGGAAAAAGTCCCCAAATTTATGGAAAGACATTGCATTACTCGGTCAGTGACATAAAAAGCCTCCTCAACACCATCTCCATGGTGAACATCAATGTCTATGTAAAGCACGCGCTGTCCGTAAGAAAGCAATGAGCACAAATAGTACATGAACACATCGAAAACAGAGCAGAATTCTAAATTATAATCATTATAGTTGCAAGCAATCAGTGGAAATCAAATTAACTCAAAGCACATTCACTGGCAAATTAATCACAAGCAATCAATAGTATTGACTCTTAAGGTATCTAAAATTCAAAACTCAGAAAAATACCAATGCCTTGTCATAATACTAGCTTCACTAACTAAAATCTAAAATGAAGATTCAGTGATAATAATTTTAGGTTCACACTTCACCATTAATAATAATTCTATCACTTATCCTAAATGGTGCATTGAGCAGCCTCTGTTGATTTCTTTCATGGGAGCTCAATGATAGAATTTTAGCAGCATAGCTCACCAAGAAACTACGAAAGAAATTGCCAAGATACTAAACAATCCTACCTGCTATACATCGCAAATTAAGCAAATATTTCACCAACTAGAATTATTTGAGTCGCATTAATTTTTAAACAAGATAAACCACCATGAATCCTAAAGACACAGTTGAGAATTTGGCCATCAGTCTAGTGTCTCAACAGAGAACAGAATCTTACCCATCACTTAGAACATATGTAGCTTTCCTGCTCTTAGCCCTTTGTGTCTGGCTCTTGGAACCACCGCTTGGTTACTATCTTCTATACCGACTGAAGTTGGAGACTACTCTGAATACATTTAAGTACATAAAGTTTTCCATTTCTTTAAGGTAACATACTAGTAAGCAATTGATTAGCATGAAACTTCAGAAAAGGAACACAATAAAAGCAAATTAAGTACAATCAAACAAAGCAATAATAGTACAATTCGAAATAATAACTTAAGCACAGCACCTCCTTCAAAAAGTCCATAACTTTAACCAAAATTAATAACCTCCTATTCACCAACCCATGTTTATCAATCAAAATAATCCAAACCATTATATGAAATAAGCCCAAAAATACAAAGCAATCAAGAAATTGTAATAAAATTCAAATTCAACCCACAATGGTAGTCCCAGTCTTGAGAAAAGATGGTTGCTTTAAACCCTTTGCCATAAGCATCTCATTCCTTTTGCATAAATCAAAGTTGAACCCACCCTTTGGAAGCATTTCTATTGCTGCCTTCAACATTTTCACTTACTGTTCTTCCAAATCTACTCAAGAAAATAATCTAAATAATTAGAAAAAATTGTTAAAACGTTAATATGATTCTCGATGGATGAAATTCAAAACCCGTTTAAGATTATCACTTTTAACCCATAAATACAAACATATCAACATATATAATTTGAATTTGCCATGGAGAGGAGGCTAACCCATGTGATCCGCGATCTTGGGAAGGCCGGACGGTGTCGAAATTTGCAAAACTCAGATCCTATTGCGCAGACTTCGTGACTGTCATTCTTTTGGGATGAAATCTGAACATTGCAGGGTTGGAGGTGATAGAGGGGAGTGAGGCAAGGTTGTTGGTAGTGGAATTCGACGGTGAGGCAAGGTTGTTTATGCTAATTCTTCCAATTGGTGGTGGAATGATGGGAGGAGATGGAGTGAGGCGAGGTTCTTTGGACTGATTTTTCTAATTTTCAGTTTTCACGGGTGTTTTCCGTGTTTTCCACATTTCCGAGTTTTTTGCTTGAAAACACTCAAAATGACCAAACGGTCGTTTTGTGTACAAATTGTTTTTCGTTTTCAAAAACACGTTTTTGAAAATAAGAAAGAAAATACGTTTTCACTATTTTGGAAAACAGAAAACAGAAAACGACCCAAAACGGCCAAAGAGAACACCCCCGTAGTTTTTTCCTTTTCAACTATATATGTATAATTGACAATTTAATGAATAAAAATTGATCAAAAGGACAGAAAATGGATCTCAGATTTTTGAAATTTCCACACGTCTCTAAGTTGTGGTATACTTTAAGTTCAAGTTGATCTCAAATAAGTGGTTTAAATTAGGTCGCATTGAACATTTTACCAAAAGCTTAACCATGGTTGGCCTCGATTGAGTACATATTCAATTTTCAATCTTAAAAGGTTGACACCTCTTTTGATTTCTTCTCTTTCGATACCAAAAAAATTTACAAAAATCCACTCTCGAAGATGTTTGATTTTGATAAAAAAAACAATTTATTTTTTTTAGTAGATTTTTGTCGTTGTTTGGTGAAAATTAAAATTCAGATTTTAATTTAAGTCAAAAGTCAACATTTAATTTTGTGATCCACGACTTTTCAATTATTCTCTTTCGATACCAAAAAATTACAAAAATCCACTCTCGAAGATGTTTGATTTTGATAAAAAAAAAAAAATTTTAGTAGATTTTTGCCATTGTTTGTTGAAAATTAAAATTTAGATTTTAAATTAAATCAAAAGTCAACATTTAATTTTGTGATCCACGACTTTTCAATTACACATTTCATCAATTTTTATCAAAATCTACTGAAATTGAATGTTAATCCTCACCAATCAAACAAGTGCTTCATATAAGTCAAACTACAAAAGGTCTGTTTGGTACAGATTCTCATTTTTTACAGTAAATCAATTTTCATTTTCAACCACACATTTTTCAATAAAATAATATTTTCCATCACATCAATAACTTTTTTTTTTCTTTTTCAACCACAAATTTCTCATCATATTACTATTCAAAAATCAATTATTCTCCCAAAAATCCCTACCAAACACACTCAAAGGCCTTGTATGGGAGGGATTAAAATCAAATTAAAATTGAAAATATAGCCGTTATTGTTGACTTTTATTAGACGAGTGAGACCCAATAACGGCCATATTTTCAATTTTAATTGGCTTTTAATCCGTCCCAAACGGGGCTAAAGTAATATATTATTTGTATAGGTTAAAAGAAGACCCTTTTTGGGTAAGTTTCAATTTGCACAAAAAATTTAACAATTTGAGCCCAATTTCAAGAGAGGTTCTATAAAAATTTGTTGCTTGTAAATGATTTGATTGCATAATTAATTATCCTTTGAATGAAGTACAAGTTTGAAGGTTGAAAAGGCGCTCAAGGGACTCTCTCTATATATAAAATCAGTTCGCAGAACTGAGGCTTTAGGCTGCATAATCGAGCATTAAATGGATCTTCGGCCAAGACACAGACAATCCTTTTCTGGCTTCACTCTAGCTGAGGTTCTTCTTCTTCTTTCTTTCCTTTTTTTTTAAATTTTAATTCCTGTTTTTAACATCCAACTTCCTTGATCGTTCAACTCATAAGCTATTTTAACTAATTAATAGCCATTTTATGCGTTTATTTTACTGGTTCTTCGATGAATTGAAATTATTTCTCTTCAGTGAGGTTCGGGTAGGTGCATACGTTTCAAGCGATGTATACTCGTGTATTTTGTGCAAGCTTGTGTGGTTAATCATTCGTTAACAGTAGTATATTTTCACAATTTGAAAAAGTTTGGTATTATTAAGTTATGGGATATTAAGATCAAAGGTGTAAGTTTATTTATTATTTATTTTTATTTTTTGAGATTTTTTGGGTCTTTCCAGTTCTATTTTCGTTGAGTTTTGGTATTAGTATATTAATGATCCAGTAAGTTACTTGTGATTGGTAACCAATTTATCTGATAATAAAAATAAAAGATTAGCTCAGCAGCCTCAGCCATCAGATTTAATTAGGTAGATTTTTTGCTGTTTGAATCATGTGCTGGTGAATTCTTCACACATCAACGATTTATTCCTTTTTTTTTTTGTTCTAAACAATCGAAAAGAAAAGTTCATAATTAGGATTGTTACAGTTATTTCTCATATCTTTATCAGCTGTGGTTCTGAATTCTTCCGTGGCAGAGTCATGAAAGTTGAAATTGTTAATTGTAATTGAACCAGTTTAAACACTTGAATTGCTCCAGACACTTGATATCATCCACAATTTGTTATCGGGAAATTTTATATCAAATTGGGCTATTTGCATTATTGTACAAAATTTGGACCATTGGGGGAACTTATCTTTTGTCATCAACGGAACAGGTTGAGAAAATGGAGCATTTACATAAGGAATCTAGCGAACAGTCTTTGAATGAGGAGTTTTATAAGAAACTGGCAAGACTTTTCAAGTGAGCATCTCATGTGTGAATTAAGTATTTGTTTAGAGCATTAGTTCTTGCTTTAGTAAATATTTTTGTGGCGTTCCATTTTTTATGTTTGCAGTCGTTCCAGTGGTCGTGCTGGAAAACCTGTTGTGAAGTGGACTGAGGTTTTTGTCTTCTGTTTTTCGATTAACTAATTCCATCATAACTTGAATTCTCTATCTTGCTTGAATACTTGTATCACTCATATTACTTGTTTTTAGGTTCAAACTTGGTTTGAGGACAGGCAACGAATCGGTCCCTCTAGAGAGACTTCAAGGGTTGCAGCTGAAACTGCTTCGATACCTGAAGGTGCATATTCTTGACACGTTTTTCAGCTTGTACCTAATATCTGGATACAATTCTTGGAAGTGGATTCCTTTGCTTGTAACAATTTATCTTTAAAGTTCAGGATTTTAACAATTGCATCATAAGTTACTGATGTGACCTTTATTTTAGAATGTCTTTATTCTCTGTCCCTTTTTCTTTATCATGCTTGGTGAAGTTTGTTATTCTTTCCATGCTGGCTTGCAGCTTGCTAATTTATCTTATATTCCACCCTGGGTTGTAGAGGGAGAGTTGCTAAGTCTACTCCTTCCTTCCCACAATATGAGAAGCATATTCAGAAACCAACTTTTTGTGTTTCTTCGCTTTGATTTGAGAATGAGATTGACACACTACTCTATAGATTTTCTAATTGTTGTTGCTTTGCTGGCATTGGTAACTAATGAGCCAAGAACAGAACATCATGGCAGCATCCAGGTAGATATACTATAATTTGCATTAGGATTCAATATATTTTATCCTTGTTGCAAGATTACAATATTTTTTTATTTGATAACCGAGGATATCCAGACCAACTTGCGCGCACCTCGACTAATCCCACGGGCCCTAAAGTTTACTGCCGAGTACTCACCTCAGTGGCCATGAGGGGATTCGAACTGGTGATCATTGGGAAGCAAACCCAATGCCTGACCAATTGAGCAACCCCTCAAGGTTGTTGCAAGATTACAATATATCAATAGACTTCACGTATCTTTTATAGTGAGAGCTGTATATAAATTATTAATTGGCACGACCTTTTCCCACTCGATGAATATGTTACTTCTAACTATCTAGTTGATGGATTCTTTGCTTTCTCTCTCTCTCCCACTCGATGAATATGTTACTTGATTTTTGTACGGCTATTAGCCTATTACTACTAGTCCTTAAAGCAAAATTATTTTTCCAACCTGCATAATATGTTGCAAAGAAGTTGTGTGCTAATTATACTTGCTGTTTTTCATGCCATTGCTTTGAATGACTGAAGATTTACTAAATCTCAAAAAATTCCTTGCAATATTAGGTAAAGTAAAAATTACAAGATCATGACTAACATTGTTTGGGTCACAGGTGAGAACGATCAAGATCTATCTAGGCTGGAATTTGAAGCGCTATCATCAAAAGATGGGGCATGGTAAATCCATATTATTAGTACTCACGAAAAGGTCTTTTATGTAAAGGGAGGTCATTATTGTTGAATATGCACAAATTTTTTTTACTCAGCTCTTTTCAGTGTCACCTCATGCCTACATGTTTACTATTTCCTCTTCTTTATTTTTTTTTCTCAGTTAAATGTGGAAAAATTCATTGAGCTTTCTAAGTACAAGGGAAATATTTGAATTATTGCAGTAGTTAACATGTGGCACATTTCTTAATGATGCTAGAGTAACTAACCTTTGCCCACTGAAAATTGAATCTTGCGTTGGATGCTCAAATAAAATTAAACTTTAAAATGTGAGCACTGGCATAAAAACTTTCTTTGCAGTTGAATTTTCAGTTTTAATGTATGATGCACGTGTACTCATTATTTGCTGCGTAAAATCTGCTACTATAGGAGGGATAACTTCAGAACATATTGTTATTGAATTATGGGCATCGATCACTTCAGTTTAATATTTTTCATCACTGAAGAGGTTGATAAATTGTGTAAACAGATTCAAAGAGCCTAACTTCATTTGTTAATCAACACTATATATTACTGGCTGCTTACTCCATGTTATCTATGCCACCTGGTTATTGCCAGTAAAAGTAGGCATCAAAATTTTCAATTAATAATAATCGTAACATTTTTGAATGTTCTTTCTGCAGGTATGATGTTGAAACATTTTTATCACACAGATTTCTAAGTTCCGGTGAAGTTGTGAGTAACTATTTAACTCGTGTTTTTTCATCCCATGGAGAATGGTTAACTAAGCTTAAAAGGTTTAATTACAAGGAAATAACTAAAGTTTAACAAAAAATAATTTTTTTATTAGACAGTTGGAAATAAGTAAGTTACTCTTTTTGAAAGTAACGCAAGAGTTACTTCCGAAAATTAGTAACTTTTTTTTTATTTTTCACTTGAAAGTGCGAAAGAAGTCAGTTATTCAAACATATTTAGATATAAACGTATCTTTTTTTAAGCATAGCCAAACATATCATAGCAAGTAGATGGTGGATGTTTCTCATTCTCTAGATGGTGTTCATTGAGTGTTGCTAGCTTGGGAATCTTATTCAATTAATATCAAATTAAATGCAGGAAAAAATTTCTCGTCTATTTATGAACTCGAGTTTGACAGATGTCAGTTCATTGTAGGAATTTCTTGTGATATATGTCGGTTTAGGAGCAGAGGAAGATGAATGGGTAAATGTACGGAACTCCGTGCGAGAACGCTCCATCCCTTTAGAGAATTCAGAGTGCCAGAAAGTCAATGTTGGAGATCTTGTTGTGTGCTTCCAGGTAATCCTTTTTCATTTATATACATTTATTCTTCCCCTGTATCACTTCCCGACCAATTGTGGGTAACATGCAACTCATATACACCATCAAGAGAGGATTGGTTGGCCAAGGAATCATAAAAAGGGACTATAAGGGGAAATAGAGATCCCAAATAAGGAGCAAGTTCGCCTTCACAAGACCAAAACTAAAAAGTTCGATTAATTGGCCTTAAAACTAGCTTAACAGGCTATGGATGAAAATGATCCATGAATACGTATTGGCATGTTAGATGCAGGATTCCATGCAATGGTGCAAATTTCGCCTCAACTATCAGTTCATTTATAAATTTAGAAACAACAAATTTTTAGTATATAAATAGGATCCCTAACTTGTATTCCATCATGATGGGTTTCAGGAGAGACAAGATCAAGCAAGGTATTATGATGCTCATGTTTTAGAGATTCAAAGAAAATTGCATGACATAAGAGGTTGTAGATGTATTTTCTTGATTCAGTACGACCATGACAAGACAGAGGTGTGTACTCTTTCGTCGTTAATGTCAAATTCACAAATATATGGTTTCTATGTGTCATCATCTGTTGTAATCTTTTGCTTTGCTAGGAGGAAGTCCGTCTGAGGAGATTATGTTGCCGACCAAGTATGCTAGTAGAATTAGAGAAGGATTAGCTATGAGAAATGAAATTCGCTTTTCTTGTGTATTCTTGATAAACCATCTTTTCTACATAGATGTAGTAGGAATGTGTTGTGAATCTAATGGCTAAATGGAATTTCAAATTGATTTTGATCGAGCTTTTCCTCAAAATATGTTGCAAGGGGAATTTTCTCTACCCTTCTTACCCTCAAAAAGCACAAACATCTTATCGTACATGTGTGAACGATAATAAAAAAAAGTTAACGACTTTAGTTTAATATTTTGGTTTATCTTCTACATTTTTAGGTATTTGATGCTTTAACTTTTGCAGTTATTTCGTATTTTAATTGTTAATGAATTTTCCTACTTTGTATTGTCAATCTTGCACGGCAAATTCTCTGTCTTGTGCTCCAGACTCCATCATATTAGCCACTTGAACATAAATTTCATCTGAACCTCTGTAGGGTTTCAAGATCAAAATTCCTTATTAATTGTTCGGTATTAACAAGGAGTTCAATTGCTGGTTGTGAACGAGATATAATGGGATCACTTTTCTTATTGATTTTTTGAGTTAATTTGGATTGTTTCTAATCACAATATAAGTTGATTCCTGTAAAGAGTGGATTTCAATAGTCACACTAGTTGAAAGAGCACAAAAGTACACGATTTACTTATTATTATTATTTTTATATATAAATAGTACGCGATTTACTTTTTTTAAAGAAAATGTGCATATCATAATATGCATTTGTTTGTTTTAAATGCAAGGGAGACGAGGATGAAATGAATATATTCGATCATAGGCAAAATTTTATGAAGGATCATGTACAAATGAAACAAAGATTAAGCTCCTATTTGAGTCAAATTAAAATTTTTATTCTCATTCTTCTACTTAGTGGTGGCAATCGAGTCGAGCGGCTCGTCGGCTCGTACCGAGGCAACCCATGAACCGCTCGAGCTCGTCAAAAGACGATCATGAGCATGAGTTGAGCTGACCAACTCACTAGATGAGCAACTCGCCGAGCGGCTCCTAGGCTCGTTAAAAAAAATAATAATAATAATTTGGCAAAAAGTCAAAAATTCAATGACCAGAATGGTCACTTTAAATTCAGTGACCAGAAACGGTCATTGAATAAATTCAGTGGCCGTTTTGGTCACTGAATTTTTTATTTATTTTTTCTCTATAAATACCCACCCCCTAATCAATATTTTTTCCCACAATCCTCTCATTCTCTACTCTACTATCTACAATTTACAAATTATCAACATTCAACAATATCATTCATTCATAATTCATTCTATAATCATCTTATCATCTTCTACATTTTTTTACATTATTATTATCTTGATTTTACTTTTACAATTCATTTTATACACTGCTACATAATCTTTATTCACTTCTCAATTCTAAATTTTTACATTCTACTTCAAATTTTCAATATTCCATTTCTATTATTCACAAATGGATTCACGACAATTTGTTGAAAACTTGTTCGGTATGGAAGACGAAACACCTGTCTAAAATCAATTTGGGAATGAATTTGCCTATCTCAATGAATTACCAATTCTAGAAAATATTGAAGATTTCGACGTTCGTGAAGGTAG